TCATAACACAATTTAATTTGCCATTTTTTGTTTTTATTTTCATAACGGTCTCTGTGAGTTTTACTTATTATTCATTATTCATTTTTAATTACCTTTTTAAATGTTAAATTATACAATCAGATACAAAAAAACGCAACGAAAAATGTTTTCGTTAAATTTAAAGTGTTATACTTTTTGGTTATTTTATTTCTATTTTCATAATGTTTTTATCAAACAGTATATAGTAATAATAATATATAAGTTATAATAATTAAAAAATAAATAAAAAATAATTTTCGTATTTGGCTAATTATACAGGGTTAATCAAAGGGTTGTTTTTTATCCTAACTTTAAAATACCCTGTGCAATAATTTTTCTAAAACACTATTGTTTGGTCAGAACTAAGTCTCCTGAGCATTTTGTTTTTTTTATCATGTCGATACATACCTTGGTTAATTTTTAAGAGGAAAATAAACTATTATCCATTCTTTTTTATGTTATTTTCAATATTACGAGGTGGCTTTGGTGATTATTGTGGACTATGTACTATTATATTGTGAACTACTGAACCCTATAGAACATATTTGGGAAATACTCGACAGACGAGTTAGAGATCGCGAAGCGGTACCAGTTTCATTAAATGAACTTCGCTCAGTTCTTAAAGAAAAATGGGAAAACATAAAGCAATATGATATATGCAGCGTCATTGACAGTATGAACGGACGCCTAGAGACAGTTATAGTAGCCAATGGAGGCAATGGAAAGTATTAAGGTATACTTGTTGATTACAGATGTTTTCTTTAATATCGTTAGTTCTGTTATCTTTATTAATGTTTTTTAAAATCAGGACTGTATTGTTACTCTTTAACGTTTTTTTTAATTGAGTACCAATACGGCGTAATATGATATTACGACAATAATCACCAAAGCGACCTTGTCATATTGAAAAATAACAAAAATTGCAAAATTGTTGGTGGAAAGTTCATTTCGCTCTTAAAATTTAACCAAGCCAAGTGTTGTCATGAGACAAAAAACAAAATACTCAGAAGAGATTGTTCTGATAGAAAAATAATGTTTTAGGAAAATCTTCGCACAGAATTATTGCACAGGGTGTTTTAAAGCTAAGCTAATAAACTTTTATAAACAACCATTCAATATACCTTGTATAATAAAGCTCTATACAAAAGTTTATATAAAAATTGAGTTTACTAACTAAAATTGATATATTTATAAAGAGTTTGCCAAAAAAAAAATCATGAAAATTGGGCTAAAAATAAGGAAAATATAACAATTTAAATTAGAGGGAACATTTTTCCGTTGCTTTTTTTGCATCTGAGTGTACAGGGTGGACCATTTTGGTTGTTTCTATATGGTATCTAAAAAACCGTGAGAAACATTCAAATTTTGATATAGCAGTCGCGGGTTCTTTTTTTAAAAAAATCACAATGGCTTGATCGGTTTCGAAGCTACAGGGGGATTCTTAAATTTTGTACTTTTTAAAGATGTTCGATAGTTTGTTTATTTCAGTAACTACGCAAAAATGAATTATACATTCTAAAGGTACCTTTCTGTGTAGAATGCAGTGGCGTAGTCAGACTTTTTTGGAAAAAAATATTTTTTTAGATATTAACTATACTTTTGTTTTTTTAAATAGAACCCCCTGTATATTTTTAAATTTCCTGATTCAGCTTGGCATGGGCTTCTCGAAAATATATAACACTCTATATTTATTTTAACTATTAACCTCAACAAATTTTTCTTAAAATATCCAGTTAGTAGTAGGCCGCGCCGAATAACAAAGTAAACCGTTGTCATGGTGATTGGGACATACCTTTGATGGATGCGTGACATTTCATTTCAACAGATTGAAATATGTGTATTTTAAATAATAAAAAAATTAGTAAATTTGAAAATTTTGAGAAATATAATACGTTATAAGAATGTTATATTGAGTCTAACAGACATAAGCAAATGGCAGCTGATTTATATTTTGAGCGGTATTTTGAGCGCGAGCAACCAAACCCAGCCATTTTTAAAAGGTCAGAAAATAGTTTAATCCTAGCCACCTAGGCCACTTGATATCACTCCCTTGAACTTCTTTCTCTGGGGCTTTCCGAAAAACGAAATTTATCGAAATGCAAATAGAACATTAGAAGAGTTACAAGATGGTTTTGTTGTGGCTTTGCAAAGTGTAACCAACATACAAATTTGAAATGCTGTTAGCGGCGGTGTTCAGAGACGGTGCCAACTCCGTATCTACCATTAAAAAATATGTTCTTTTTTTTCTGTCACACTTATTTTTTATTTGCTTCGTATTGTTCGAATTTATTTAATTGCTAATACATGGATTAATTTGAAAGTAGATATTCGCTTGTTTCCTTTAATACTCGGCATGACCTACCAAGAGGAAAATCGATATATTTAAATAAACTGGAATTTTAAAGTTAATAGTGAAAATAAATATATAGTGTTATATATTTTTGAGAAGCCCATGCCAAACTGAATTAGGAAATTTAAAAATATACAGGGGGTTGTATTTAAAAAAAACATAAGTATAGTTAATATCTAAAAAAATATTTGTTTCGAAAAAAGTCTGACTACGCTACTGCATTCTACACAGAAAAGTGCCTTTAGATTCATGTTTGCGTAGTTGTTGAAATAAACAAACTATCGAACATCTTCAAAAAGTACAAAATTTGAGAATCCCCCTGTAGCTTCCAAACCGATCAAGATAGCCACGATCCGTTTGCGCCATTGTGATTTTTTCAAAAAAGAACCCGAGACTACAGTATCAAAATTTGAATATTTCTCACGGTTTCCTAGATACCCTATAGAAACAACCAAAATGGTCCACCCTGTACATATATAAACTGGAAAGAGAATATCCACTTCCTGATAGCGATAAATGTCCTAAATTTGTAAAAAAGTAAGATTAGATTACAGCTAGTTGTCGAAACATCCGTTATCGTTTGAAAAGTTAAATTTATTTTAACTTTCCCCGCTGACGAAGAGGTCAAATTTTTGGATGAAAAATGGCGCGAAAACACTATGAGAGCGCTGTTGGATAATCGTATCAGAGAATGAGAGATTAATGAAAATCCGCCTTACTTCAGACAACCGGTATACTTTATTTATGTCAATACCATAAATTAAATTGTTTATTGGCCAGACCAATGATTGATATAGCATTTCATATATTTCTGTTTTAATTGCGCTGCAAGTAATCTAAATCGACTCGTAATCTAAACACAGTATAACTGTTTACATACAATAAGCTTTCCTATACAACTTCACTCATTCTACAGAACCATACCTACACAAGCTACTTAACAACTTTGTACTACAAAACCCTGAATAAATGTACATCTGGCCACAGCTCCTCAACATATCGCCAATAATAAGTGACCAAAAATATTATCGTTTCTATATAGAAGAATTCCTAACTATTTTCTTCTCTATCAACAATAATGGGAACGTTACATATATTAATTTAAATTATTTTTTTCAACAACGTAAAAACTGCATATTTTAATCAGTTATGTAAAAAATCGAATAAATTTATTCATCAGAATAATTAACGCTTTTAACTTACACTTTATTCTTTTTTATCTTGAAGGAATGTAAATAATAGATAATCTTGATAAGAAACAACTTTGTAACTGCATCACATTTTCAACATTAAAATGAATTTTTTAAACAACATCTTTAGGCATTTTTAAGCACCTGTGATAAATGATGACCTTGACATTTTCAGTATTGATACTTTTAATTCGATTCAAGATCGAGTCCAAGAATTAAAAAGGACTTCAATTTTGAGATGTCTAAACGTAAAAGATTATATTTTAATTAAACACTTTTCGGTCACTTAAATGTAGAGTAGTATAAATATTGTATATAAATAGCGATATATGTTACCTATATCACAGCTCATTCAAGACCAGTATATAGTCAACAGTTATTTTATTATTATGTTATTTTTCGAATCATGGAAAATATGCTGGAGATAATTTATTGGTATTGAATATACCGTGCAAACAGGGGGTCCCGATATTCCGTGGATGTAGAAATAAAGTATTTTCAAAGTCATTTGGACAGGTTATGGACTTCTCAAGGCATTTCTTCTCAAAGCATTGCCGAAATTAATAATTTTTCTTATAAAGAATGTAATAAATAGTGGACAAAGAAAAGAAACCACCTCGCATAGTTTTTGAGAAGAAAAATGTTTTTCCAAAGCTGACGTACATATAATATTTCTTGTTACATCAAGCGTTAACATTTAGTAGGCGAGGATAATTTAGTTGGCGAAGTCTTAATTAACATTTGGGGTATATTTTTTACAGTTGCCTCCTAAACTGTGCCAATTAAAATACTTTGATGCCAAAAATATATATAGTAATTCTATGTCCGCGGAATACTGGGACACCTTGTATTTTGAAAAATACTTCTGATGAATAATACAACTATAATGCGCAGAACATTACATATTTTAACATTATTTAAGATCTATTTCTTCTGATAAAATTATTACACATTATCTCTTTGGTACTTATCAAATTAATTATCACTCTTCAGAATGTTTATTTAAAATGTATTAATGCAATAGTTTACTACGACAATTGTACAGGTGTTTCTTAAATAAGTGCAATATCGTGTGGTATTAAATTATTCGTAAAAAATTCTTCCATTTGAAAAAATTGAAATATGTTTAAAAATATGATTTGGGCATCTTTTAACCGGCCAAGGCAAGACACGAAAAACGTTAGACGATCTATTTTCCAAGGCAATTTGATTAAAACTTAGTGTTTTTAACACAGCCATGGCACTCTAGATTGAAATTTAAAATGCGATGTTTTTTAAGCGAAAATGTCAAAAGTTGACATATGATACGTTTTTCTATTCAAAGTGTCATTTTCTATCGAATAAAGAAAAAATAAACACAGGGTGCCATTTAAAAATCAAAAGTTGTGGTCATTTATGGTTAAACAGGAAATGACCAAAAACAGATGAATACGTCAATCAGTCCTAATTTATGTCATATACTAACATACCAAATCTCTTTTTTTATCTAAAAAATAAATAAAAAAGGGTTGAAGCTAAGAAGGGGTAAGAAGTATAATCTTTAAGAATTATTAATCTTGTATTATTGCTAATCTCTGTGTTATCTTTATGTGTCTAACTTTAAGAATTATCTTTCTAGATTTCTCCTCCTTTTATACAACCTTTCGTGTTGCAAAAGAAAACACACATTAATTACATTTTCGAAGTTATGTGGCTGGCTATAGAAATTTTCTATTACGTTCTTAATTTACGTAAACTTCTCCACTTCAAATAAACATCCTGATCAATAATAGTACTTGAACATACTGCTAAACTCCTGAAATTCGTTTCTCATCATTCGTGAGGCATATTCGATTAAAGTATAATGAGCTAATTATAAGTCACTTATCCGAAAAATTCGTTAAACAACTAAAAATACCACTTAATCAAACTTTTTCTAGCGTTTGCTCCAACTCTTCAGCTTTTTGCTTGTTTCTTTTGATCTCCCACCTGTTTACCCAGTTTAAGGGGTAGCACATAATGGCGGAGATCAGGATCATGCTTCCTGAGAGGTAAAATGAAGCGTTGTAGCTGCCGGTGTAGTCCATGAAGGCTCCCGCTAATGGAGCGCCTATGATAGCAGCGACTCCTTGGAATAGTAGCAGGAGGCCGAAAGCGTTTGTTAGCCTTTCGAGACCTAGTAAATCCACTACGATAATGGATCTGAGTGATGCGAAACATGCTGAAAATTTAAAAAAAGGATTAGTATTGTACATTTCTTAGACATGTATAAAATATTATAGACCAAATGAAAAAAACCAAACCAAACCAAACCAAACCAAACTCCCATAATATACATTTAGAAAGATTCGTGTTTCTTATGGTATAACAAGGAATAAAATTTAAATAGTTAATTTTTTATCTGAATGTTATGAAGTAATATAATATGACTCTTAATTATAGATTTTTTTTCTAAAACTAATAGAATAATTTAATTCGTACCGCATCAGTAGTATTTGGTAAAACAGTACTTAGAGGGTAATGTCAGATTAAAAAGTATCGATACAGTATCTGTAGCTCCTAGAATAAAAAACTTGGGAATTTGGTTTAAGTACAAACCTAAATTTTGTACGACGACGTATTTCAGGAAAATATTTTAACTTCTATAGGGTGGCTCAAAAAAGTGCTAGTGGATTGAGATTATTTTTTTTTAATTGGAACACCCTGTATATCATTGTATTTTTGGCTTCCTTTCTTATCACTTTTTGTAATCCAAAGATATTAATAAATATGTTTTTATAGTTTCAGAGATACTAATAAAAAAATAAAAAATTTATATTTTTCAAGCTTCCTTAAAAAATTATTACAAATAAAAGAACCTGTCCTGAAAGACCTGAAATCAAAACTATATTAGGTATTCACTATGATGGTCTATATTGATTGGTCTATAGACTTTGCTATAAATATTGTAATCTTAAATCATACAGGGTATTCAAAATTCTACGCCGAACTTTTTTTTATAAAATAATTTTTCTTTGTTTTTTTAAATGGAACACACTGTATATTATTTTTTTATTAGATGGAGAATTAAAAAATGAACATTTTTTGTATTTAAAGTATTTCAAAATTATTCATGGTTTCGCAGATACACGCAGGATTATTTCATATGGCTCTTTCAACGATGAAATAGGAGAGAAAAATCATTGGGTGGCTTTGATAAAAATTTACTGTCGAAAATGCCATATGAAATATGAAATCGCGAATATCTGCGAAACCGTTAAAAATTTTGAAATACAAAAAATGTCCATTTTTCAATTCTTCATCTATTGAAAAAATAATATACAGGGTGTTCTTTTAAAAAATGGGGAAACATTATTTTATATTTTAGAAAGTTATTTGGCGTAGTTTTGAACATCCTGTATGATTTACGATTACCACATTTATAGCAAAGTAAGTACAGACTATCTAAAGTAAATACCTAATATAGTTTTGATTTCACGACAGTTCTAGTAGTTTTAATATTTTTTTTCAGAAAGGCTAAAAAATATATATTTTTTATTTATTTATCAATATCTCTGAAACTACCGAAATATATTTACTCATATCTTAGGATTATGTAAAATGATCTGAAAGGAAGCCAAAAATGCAACAATATACAGGGTGTTCCGTTTAAAAAAAATATCCCAATACACTCACACTGTTTTGAGCCACCCTATAGAAGTTAAAATATTTTCCTGAAATACATCCTAGTACATACTTTAGGTTTGCACTTAAACAAAATTCCCAAGTTTTTATTCTAGGCGATACAGATCTATGATACAGATGCCCGATGCACTATTGCCAGACCCTGTATAGTTTAAAAGAGAAGAACATAGAAATATTGATCTTTCAGAAAGTTCATTTTCATTTAGTGTTATTTGTTTAACAGTTTTCATTTAACCACAGATTGTGCCACAGACTTAATAATATATTTTTTTTCCATGATTTGACAGCGTTACTGGCGTAGTTTTATCAATTTTAAAATAGAAAAGGAGTCCTAAATAAGTCTATTTATATCAAATGCTTATAGGCTCGGTGCATTTCAGTTGAATTAAAAATTCCGACTGCAGCGCTCGATACGGCAGAAATTAGATGTGCCCGACTAAAGTATGTAATGGACCCCCCTTACGGTTCATGTTGATCGCATTGTAATCAATTTTGTAAAAAAAAATCATTGTAAATCTTATTTGAAATAAATATTAAATAAAATTTATTTAATTCGGATAAGTTCTTATGTATCATAAAAGGTTTGCATGCTAATTTTTTATATACCTAAGTTTTAAATACAATAAATATTTTTATTAAATCTAAACAAAAACAAGCAGATACATTTCTGAAAAAAAATCTAAATCCAAAATCCTACACCAGTTTACTAAAGTCAATACAAATTCAGTGTAAATTGATACAATTTATATATGGTTAATAAATATTAGCAGAAGAGAATATACTATTTATTTTCTATTTTTTTTTCCAGAATGTAGTAAATATTTGAGTCTGATCATTAATTTTTCCCAAACCTTAGGTATAGTCCAGGAGGCAGTATTTTTTTTTGTATGTACTTATTGTCCCAGTGTAGTTGGTGAATAAATAAATGACAATTTCTATCACATTTTCATACATATGTAAAAACCGGCAATACTGTACGCCGGTTTTTATTTTGTCTCTCTGTCTGTCAACCGGCCATTTATATTTATCTCTGTCGCATGCATTAAAATACAGACCACGAAGATGAACTGCCAGAATGGTGTACCTCTTAGACAAGGAAAGAGAGGGGACAGGTAACACGGCAGCTGAAAGTGAGGCAAGTTGTCACCACGCGAAATTCTCCAATGGCGTAGCATCAGAAATTAGCTTGTACCTAGACGGTACAAAATATTTATTAAAACGTAAACTAATATATCGTTCATTTTTGAGTAATGCATATACAATTTTGTATTTTATAGTCTCACCTTTATAGTATTAGAATATCTAAGTCGATAATGCAAAATTTATTTAACAGTCACAGTGGACTCTGATTATCAAGACAATTATTTATTTATTAACGTGTGTATAATGTATAATTAAATAAAAAATAATGTAATAACATATATTTTAAACGTGTATATACATATATACTGTATGATCGAAAAAAACGGCGTCTTGTTTGTTTGGAAATGACAATTTCACAAACGAATATTAAAAATTACATTATTCATTGAATATTGAATCCGTAAGCAAGTTTGAAGAGAATTGGCTAGATTCATTATTATACCGTATAATTGAAAAAAAAACGACGTCCAGTTGGCTTGTAAATTACGATCGATGACAATCCCCATATAATTCTACATATAAAATGACATAAAAACTATACAAAACGACGTCGAAAAAAGACGGCATCAGCGATGGCTATGAAATGAAGATCGCTGTCATTTTATATGTAAAATTATATGGGGAATGTCGTCGATCGTCATTTACAAGCCAACTGGACGTCGTTTTTTTTTCGACCCTATAAGGTATAATAATGAATCTAGCCATTACCCTTCACACTTGCGTACGGATTCAATGAATAATGTAATTTTTAATATTTGTTACCTTCAATCATAAGAATATTCTATTTTTAAGAATATCCGAATTTATTCAGACAAAAATAAAACAATTCTAGAAGCTTTGTATTATTTTATTTATTTTTAAATTTTTATTAATTACTCACTGAAACTATTATTATACACTTAAATTAGCAAAATTTTTGAAAGAATATTTAAAAAAATATATGTATGTAGTTACAAGTAGCCCACCACAAGTTTGTCCACCCCCAACAAATCTTGGTACTATACATATATATAACGTATATAACTATACATATAGATTTTTTATCACTAGAATTTTTCATTTTTTTATAGTTTAGAATTATTTTACATATTTGATAACAATACTTTATACATTTTTTTACATGTAAAATATATAAAAAAATGTTTATTGCAGAAATTGTATTTCTCTGATTATAATTCCCTACGCCACTGATGAAATCCGGTCTGAGTAGCAATATTTATAGTTTCAAACATTAATTATAATACAGGATATTGAAAATACTACTTGGAATTATTAAAAATAGTTTGGTTTGGATGTGGTACAAGACATATTAAAAGCATTTTACATATTTTTACTGCTATAATGAAAAAAATGTACATTTTATGACCACATAACAAAAGTTGTGTATCAATTTTTACCTGTGAAATGTAATTCCAGCCACTTTTTTCTCGCTTCGGCCTTTGCAGCCACACTCTGAACATCTCACCATACTAAACAACACAGTTTATAAATTTAAAACAAAACAGTTGTCACAAAAACATAAAAATTCGCTCCGTGTCACCTCGAAATCTTGTCACCAAAGTATGGCCGCCGATCGAATTTTGGCCTCACTATCCGATCACGGGAGAATATGCGTGTTACCCGTTCCCTCTCTTTCCTTGTCTAAGGTGTACCCAGCGCCGGTTTATACATAAAGCGGGACAAGCGGCCGCTTGGGGGCCCGGGACCCGAAGGGGCCCGTATTTCGGTTATAAAAAAATCTAAATATGAAAATGAAGAAGTTAATAAATAAATGGTCTTTTAAAAAAGGTAAAGTAAATATTTTAACTAAAATTTCGAACCTGCATTGTTGACTACCATATGGTTTAAAATCTTAGAAAAAGTTAATGCTACGAGCAAAGCTTTGCAAGATCCATCACTAAATATATTTACTAGCATCGAGTTATTGAAGTCACTGGTATCATTTGTTCAAACACTCCGTGGAAATTTTGACGGTATCGAAATTGAGGCAGCGAGTTTAGTGGATGACGCTACCTATAAAGAAGATATTTCTCGAACTAGAAAAAGAAAAGTATTTTTCAATGAATCAAAAGAAAATGAAGTTCACCTAAGTGGCAAAAAGAAGTTTAAGGTGGAAGCCCATTACGCAATACGACTCCATAATTCAAGATCTTGAAAGACGAACTAAAAGCTATCACACTGTCAACGAACGTTTTAAGTGTTTTTTAGCAATATCGATGACATAGCATTTGAAGAGTCTCCCAACATCTTGAAAAATACATGTAAGTCGAATGTAGAAGGAGATGTATAGAAGGATATTATCATAGAAGGATCAAATATCGAAAAATTAGATTGCAATTTAATAATTGACCAGTTTACAAATGAGAAATGTAGAAAGAAACACATTTGATCAATGTCCCAAATTTTTATTTTGTTTATTTATTAAGTTATTTCTTTTATGTTTTGTTCAAAAATTATAAATGTTTTATTTTTGCGTTAAATGTTGTATAATATTATTTAAAATGTTTTTTATATAATGTTTAATAGCCCAGTCAAATTAGACAAATCGGTGGAAAAAATCACAGTTTTGAAAATGGTTTTAATTGATTCCTCTAGACTTGTGCTGATATGTGTCAAAAGTCCCCGAAGATAAACGATGAGCTCGAGGAGAGGGGAGGGGTTAAATGCCACTTTTATGACTTTTTAGCTTATATCTCGGAAAATATGACACTTTATATAAAAAATTAGAAAGCCTAGAAAAAAAAACTAGGAAATTCTCTACAAAATTGGTTGAATACATTTTTTTCATAGGTCTAAGTCTATTTTTTCATCCGTCTTTTTTTTAGTAGGTCTTTCAAACTCTTTTTTAATTTTGTATAATAACGTATATTATCAAATTTAAATTACAAAAAATATATGTGATTAAAGATAAGGTGCTTTAATTTTCATTATAAGATTTTTGAATTGAAGAATTATATGAATATTTCTTATTTCCAACACAAAAATTAATTCAGAATCATAATAATTCACTATTAATTTATAAATGTATTATTATTTATTTTGGTTCTTTAATATATTATGTACAGGGTGGCTCAAATTCGACGCTTTTAAATGGAAACACCCTTTTCTATAGGAGATAGACGAAAACTAATATCGGTATCTGGAGCTCAATTTTCATCAAAAACATAATGGTGAAAACCGCACATCAATATCTGTTACCGTTTCGGAGTTACGGGGTGTTTTTCAAAAATGTGCATTTTTAACAAATCGCTGTAACTTTTTTGCTATGGAAAATTTTGTATTTCTATGAAAACATTTCTAAAGCACCTTTTTACGTAGAATTTAATGGTTTAAGTATAATTTTTTTAAAATTAATAATTTTAGAGTTATCAACAGAAAAATTGATTTTTTATTTGGGACACTCTCTATATTTTTAATTAACTGTAAAGAATTTAAAATTACCTTTGCAAAAATATAGTACACTTGATATTTTGTTATAATCCCCTTCGAAATACAGAATTTTTAAAAGTTCGCCACTTTTAACTAGTAGGCTTTGGACGCCTTATTGATGGAGCTCGAAAACATATTTTTCCAGCAAGACGACGAACCGCCTCGGAACGCTGATGTTATCAGCAAATTTTTGCAGCGAATTTCAAGAATAATTGAATAACTAACCAAGATCCCAGCCGTTGGCCGTCGAGGCCGCCTGACTTAGTGCCCATGGATCTAATCCTATGGATATATTTGCGGAAGAATAAAGGTTCCTTATTCCGTATAATCTAGACAAGAATTAGAAATACTTAGCAGTTATGAGAGGGTATCTTTCACCCCCACTGCGTTAATGAATTCCGCGAGAAATTTTCAAAAACTGCCCCGTCTGTCCATAACAGAAGACGGTTGATATGTCGAACACGTGTAGCAAAATCTCATGTCTTGGTTTGCTATTTATTTTTATTGTTATTAGATATCGTTATAAAATAGATAGATAATTGTTATAAAATTCTGTATCTCTCATAACAAATATTATTTTCGTTTTAATTGATACTCACAGCTTGAATTTTTTGCATTATAGCCGGTGCCGTTCAAAGCCTACTCATTTAAAACGGGCAAACTTTTACATACTCTATATCTCGAAGAGAAATCGAGCAAAATATCAAGTGTGTTATATTTTTAGAAAGGTAATTTTAAATTCTTTTCAATAAACTAAAAATATACAGGGTGTCCCATATAAAAAATCAAATTTTCTGTTGATAATTCTTAAAATATTAATTTAAAAAAATATATACTTAAACCATTAAATTCTACGTAAAAAGGTACTTTGGAAATGTTTTCATAAAAATACAAAATTTTCCATAGCAAAAAAGTTACAGCGATTTATTAAAATTGCATATTTTTGAAAAACACCCCGTAACTCCGAAAGGGTAACAGATATCGATATGCGGTTTTCACCATCATGTTTTTGACAAAAATTGAGCTCCAGACACCGATATTAGTTTTTGTCTATTTCCTATAGAAAAGGGTGTTTCCATTTAAAAGCGTCGAATTTGACCCACCCTGTACATGTTGGTTTTGATTCTTTTAATTACCACAAAATATAAAGCAAAATAAATGAACAGAAAACATTATTTATGTTAACAAATAACTTGCGCAGTCAAGGAAAGATTGGTGTGAACGTATCACGTCTAAAATTTATAAAATCACAGTATATACTAAAAGTTAAACTTAATACATACTTAAAAAATAATGATATCGTATTTCTTCAACGCTATTTGAACGAAAAACGTCCAATGAAAAGAAATGTATTTGTACGGATTTGGTATATCCCATTTAATTTAGTATCCAAATTTATGAAGGGCATAGTTCGGAAATCATAAATCCGGGAACAAAAATGTATAGAACCATTTTTATAGAGAATTTTGTCAGCTTTATTTTTGTGTATGGAGTGTTTTTCAGTAGATGTCATAGTTTCCGAGATATAAGCAAAAAAGTGAAAAATTTGACATTTAACTCCCTCGGAATCGTTTAAAACCATTTCCAAAACTGTGGGACTTTTTTCCGCCGATGGACCTTTTTAAACTAATTTGACTGGGGTAAAATACATTATGTTCGTTGCAACTTTTTTTTACGTAGATAATTTAGTATATCGTACAACACACTACAAACCTAACCACAATCATTATGTATAACAAACGTAGGATAGGGGGGGGGCCCGAAAAAAAAACCGCTTGGGGCCCAATGGCCCTTAAAACCGGCCATGGGTGTACGTACCTATTTGGTCATTATAGAAGTGTGGTTTGGATTTTAACGTGTAAGACAGAGAATAATATAAATGTCCGGTTGACAGACAGAGAGACAAAATCAAAAGCGGCATACAGTGTTGCCGGTTTTTATCGTAGTGCCAGTTTTTTTTGTAGGAAAATTTGTGTAGAAAAAAAAATAAACTATTTTAAAAAATTTCATTAATATAATAAATTACATCTGTAGTAAAATTAATCTCTAACTGTGAAAAATAAGGTTCCAACCCTAGATGCAACATTTTCCATAAACGCTTACTTGTGCGGGTTTGACAAAATTACGAATAATTCTATTGGTGTTTGCTGACTGTGAAAATAAGCACCAAAAATCTTCACTGCCTCCTGGACTATTATATCAAGTAGTGTCTGAGCTTTATCAATTATGACGTAATATATTGGAATACTTACATATCGCCAATCCAAATACGACTGTGTAGAAGAACTGGTACTCCTGCGACAAAGACAGTCCACTAAAAATGGTAGCTATTCCTCCCAGCGTCAAAGCAGCGTTCGTCACAAATAACGCGTTAACACCAGGAAACGAACTAAGAAGTCCACACAACACCCTTCCAATCGTGTTAGCTATACCGATAGAAGACACCAGCAACACAGCCGTCTGCTTGGGCATATGCCCCGTCGCCCTGTCCACCAAGTACATGAAAGGCACGTAGAAACCCATCATGGTAAAGAAACCTCCCACAGATAAGATGATGAAGGAGGGACTTTTTAACAGGCTGAAATCCAACATGGTCGTGAGCGCTCTTATTACAGCTTCTGGACAGCATTTGCACGAATTCGCTTTTTCCTCTAATATGTCGTTTTTAGTGGGTAACCTAGTCACCGACAAATTATAAGCTATGGAGCCCTGCGAGGTGTACTGAGGCAACCTCGTCAAGCTCTGTCCAAAGAAAATATCCTCTCTATAAATAGGTCTATTGATTTTGTCACCGTTGCTCAAAGCTAGAATTGATTTCCTCAGACTCAGGTTCGGTTTGGATAGACCTCTGGTTAAAATTGACTTGTCCGATTTTAGTTTGTCGTTTTGCGTGATGAAGGGGACGCTCAACCTTTTTTCTTTCAGGTATTCGGAGTTGATGCTGGATGGGGCGTGAATGGTGTGATAGACGTCGTACATTTTGTCCTGATCGGAATTGTTGTTAGTTTGTTTGTTCATTTTGTTCACGGTTTCCTCAATTTTTGCTTTTGTGGCTGATGAGAGTTTCGTGGGGTTTGAGACCAATTCTTCGCCCAATTCGTCGTCCTTTAGGTTTTTGAGTGTTGTTGGTTGTAATGGCCTAAAATATAAACGGAGTCATTAGTATCTAGTATCTGCATTGGAAAAATGGTATGTAAATAAAAATCTTTATGCGGAATTTCCGATATTCTTTGTTGACATTTTTTGTAAGATATCTTTTCAAAATTTGAAACCAATTTTAACTACCGTAAACCAGGGTAACAAAGGTACGATTTTTTTAGGCATTTTTTAATAAGAAAACAAAAACTTGGCTGTTATTCGATTCAAGAAGACTTAGAAATTTTCTGAAAACGGCATTTAATTGGCCGAGGTTAAAAATATAAAACTACCGACTTACGTCGCAATAGATACAATAGTTCTGAAGATATTGTCATTTAAAATAAACCTATTATTTTCATTTTTTTTACATAAATCCGAAACTAATCAAGATACCGGGGTTTTCTTCATAAGTGTTTGTCAAACTCCTAATTACGCAACTTTTGTCCCATTTAACCGAATTCGAATCTCTCGTAGTTTCACAGATGCCAATGTTGAGCATCGAAATTGTCACCACCCTATATTATAAATGAAGCTAAAAAAGTTTAAGAAAATATATTTTCATAATAGAGCACTAGATGTATGTTTCTTTTAATAAAACTGAATAAGGAGGACAATATTTTTTATTAAAGAACTAACGAAATACATATAGCAAATAGATTAGTTTGGTTTGGTTTGATACACCTATTTGTAGTTGTATTATCTAGTTCTTTGATTTAGTGAAATTCGAGGTGAATCCGGTCGCTTGTCGATATTGGATGGGTTTAAAATTACTGAAACTAAATAAAAACTATTGAGTTTGACTGCTAGTTTTTTCTTATACTCATAGTTCTAGCCTTGTTCTAGCAGAAATTCTATCCTAACTACAACTAATGTCGAAAATAAAACTAAATCGCGAACGTTTTTACTATAAACTAAGGATGAAGTAAGTATTGTCAAATAACAGCCCTCATATAATGTCCTAAAATGTTCTATAATGCTCCCAACATCATCTTTGTATTATCCTAGAAATATTCCAAATAATCGTAAAAGGCTTGCCTAGGGATGTCTTGAAGTTGACTTTTTTTGTCCCACTTGGATAACCCATAAATATCCTCCTCTAGTTTTTGGATATCCCTAAGATATTTACTTATATCCCTATGGATATCCTCAAGATATCTATAGGATTGTGTTGTGTTATATATGGGTATAGTGTGTAAGGGGTAACCCAATTAGTTCCCAATAGATTCGACTGAATTCATTCATTTTTTATCTCCTGATGGCAAAACAATAAAAACCTCAAGCAGGGAAGTTTGCGAGTAGCAATACGTAACTGGAACGGGGCATACCAA